GCAATCTACAGATTCAATGCAATCCCCATCAAACTACGAATGATATTCCTCACACAATCCTTATTTATATGAAAACACAAAAGACCTAGAATAGCTAAAGCTACCCTGAGCAAGAACAACAAAACTGAAGGAATCACAATACCTGACTTCAAATTATACTACAGAAGTAGTAACCAAAACATCACGGTACTGCCATAAAAACAGACACACAGACTAGTGGAACAGAATGGAGAACCCAGAAAGAAATCCATACATCTACAGTAAACTCATTTTTTATAGCAGTCCCAAAAACATACACTGGGGAAAGGGCAATCTCTTCAATAAATGGTGCTGGGAAAACTGGATATCCATATGCGGAAGAAAGAATGTACACCCCTATCTCATGCCATATACAAAAATCAAATCCAAATGGATTAAAGACTTAAATCGAAGACCTCAAACTCTGAAATTACTACAAGAAAACTTTGGGGAAACTCTCCAGGACTTTGGATTGGGCAAAGATTTCTTGAGTAAATACCCGCGAAGCACAGGCAACCAAAGCAAAAATGAACAAATGGGATCACATCAAGTGTAAAAGCTTCTGCACAGCAAAGGAAACAATCAGCAAAGTGAAGAGACAACCCAAAGAATGGGCGAAAATATTTGCAAACTACCAATCTGACAAGGAATTAACAACCAGAATATACAAGGAACTCAAACAACTCCGTAGGGAAAAAAAAAATCTAAAAGTCTACTTAAAAATGGGCAAAAGATCTGAATAAACATTTCTCAAAAGAAAACATACAATTCACAAACAGCTACACGAGAAGGTGCTCAACATCGCTGATGATCAGAGAAATGCAGATCAAAAACTACAGTGAAATAGCATCTCACTCCAGTTAAAATGGCTATTACTCAAAAGACAGGCAATAACAAATGGCTGTTATCCAAAAGACAGGAAAAGATGTGGAGAAAAGGGAACTCTCGTACACTTTTAGTGAAAATGTAAATTAGTACAACCACTATGTAGAAGAATTTGGAGGTTCCTCAAAAAACTAAAAATAGAGTTACCAAATGATCCAGCAATCCTACTCTTAGATATATACCCCAAAGAAAGGAAATAAATGTTTAGAAGAGTTATCTGCACTCCCGTGTTTATTGCAGCACTTCTCACAATCGCCTAGATTTGGAAGCAACCTAAGTGTCCATCAGCAGGTGAATGGATAAAGAAAATGTGGTACACTGACCCAACGCAGTGCTATTCAGCCATAAAAAAGAATGAGATCCTGTCATAAAAAAAGAATGAGATCCTATCCATAACATGGATGGAACTGGAGTCCTTTACATTAATTGAAATAAGCCAGGTACAGAAAGACAAAGTTTGCATGTTCTTACTTATTTGTGGGAGCTAAAAATTAAAAGAGTTGAACTTAGGGAGATCAAGAATAGAATGAGGGTTACCAGAGGCTGGGAAGGATAGTGAGGGTGTGGAGGGGAAGTGAGGATGGTTAATGTGCACAAACAAAATAGAAAGAAAGGATAAGATATAGTGTTTGGTAACACAGAAGGGTGACTATAGTTAACAAAATTTAATTGTACAATTGAAAGTAACTGAGAGAGTATTAC